GGAAAATTGAGCAAGAAAATATTTGAGAATGTTTTAATTATATTTTGAGTAATGCTCAGAGTAGGGTTGGGCTTGAACCAATAGTACAAAACTCACAAATTAACTATCTTTTAAGAGAAACAGAATTTTCTTGTAACAAACAGTTAAGAATTATTTTAAAAATTAACAATTGTTGGTGAAGATCTGTCAAATACCATTCCTGAGGATAGGCATAAAGAGGCACAGAGCAATTAATACTCCCCATGAAAGTATAGTATTATACCTATAACTAAGCCCACAAAAACTGAACAATTAAGGCTGGAGGAACTCAACATGTTACCACCAGGGGTGGGATTCAAAAATCCCAGCAATTGGCTCGCTGCCCGGTTGCTGGATAGGCGAGGCCATGGTGGGCGGGGCCTATTGAAACTTCCTGTTTTCGGCTTCCGGTGGGCCTCCAGAGCTTGGAGGAGGCCGTTTTTGCCCTCCCAAGGGTCCAGAAGCCTCCCCCGGGCCTCTGGGAGGGTGAAAACTGGGCTCTGGAGGCCTTCTGGAAGCTGGAAACAGGCCTGTTCCTGGACCTCCAGAAGGCCAGTATTTCTGCCTCCCAGAGCCCCCATGCAGACCCTGCACTTACCCCCATTGAAAATGGGTTGCGTGGAGACTCCGGGGAGGGGGGAGGGGAGGGGCTAGATGGTCAGCTGAAATACCGGTTCGGCGAACCAGCTGTAACTTTAACATTGGCCCAAACTGGTCCAAACCGATAGAATCCCACCACGCTGGTTACCACCAGATATATTGGACTACATTCCATCAATCCAAAGTGAACCAATAACAGGATTTGATTGCTGTTGTGGCTGGTACATTGTTGTCTTGAAGATGTTGACTAGGACTAGGGAGATCCAGTTTCTAATCCGACTTCACCCACAGAAGCTCACTTTGACCCATCACTCTGCCTAACCTAATCCAGAGCTATTGTGGTGAAAAGTTGGAGAAGAAAAGTCATATGTGTTGTGTTCTCTCTCTCCCTCTCCCTCTCCCCCTCTCTCTTTCTCTCTCTCTCTCACACACACACACACAAAATTTTCCAGGACTTTGTGATACTGCTGGTATGTTGCCACAAAAACAATATAACACTCTTGCAAACAGTTCATTGTATACATGGAATAGAGCCCTAAGAAAAGAGTATGGTAGTTTGAGAGAAAGGAAGCAGGAAAATACAGTATATGAAGTCAGACTTAGCTGTTAAATGTCTACTGCAATAGTTAGAGCACCTCCTGGTGGTTAGAAAATGTCTCTGAAAAAACACAATATAGATGCAGTTGTGTGTGCTTCACTGTTCCATCCTACTAAGTGACAAGGCTTTAATACAAAAAGTTCAGGGAAACCAGTGTATATTTACAGTGCTTTGCATGATAAATACTGTACTAAGCCTTGCAAAATATGCAGAGATTTCAAACCTAATGGAAGCTATTTTGATTTTGCATAGATCAAGGACATAAAAGGCCTTTCTAGATGGTTTGAAAACCAAAGTTCACCAACTTGACTTCCCTTTTTCTTCAGAAACTGCAACATGCTTCAGAATCCATTGCATTGGCCTTAGAAATTATGATACTGAACTCATCTAAAACCTCACATTACTTTCAGTTTTGGATTGAGTAAGTGAATATTGCCAATAAAGGAGAATATCTATTGCTCGGGGTTAAAATGAGAGGTTCTTGGTGCTGAGTTTGGTTGTTTTCTTGCAGACTTTCATTACCTAGGTAACATAATCAGTGCTAGTAAGAAATAGAGTTTGTGCTCAATTTAAGTGGATATTATCAGGGGTGGGATGCTACTGGTTTGGCCCGGTTCTATAGCACTGGTAGTTCTGAAGAGCAGCAGACACCGAGCTGGTTCGGTGTCTGCTGCTCTGTTTGGGCTGCCCGCCCGCCTGCCCGCCCAGGGTCTTGGCTGTCCTTTATTTCCTATTTTTTTCAACCTCAGCTGCTTTGCGCGGCACAGCTGAAGTTGAAAAAGCAGGAAAGAAGAGCATTTTCAAACACTGCGCACCTGCGCGCAGCGCTTGTCAGCTGTTCGGGCAGCATAGGTGAGGTTTTTTTGGAAATGGTCTGCACACATGTGCAAAATGCACTCTCACCAGGGGTGGGATTCTACCTGCTGGAAAACCGGCAAATCACACCCCGCCCCGCCCTGCCCACTCACTCCTTACCTGGCATGCATGCCATCAAACTTGCCTGCTAAGTTGCTATTTTTCCTTTCCCCCCCCGACCATCAGCTGTTCTGCTGTGATGGGAGATTTAGATTAACTAGAAAGCAGGAAATCATTGCATTTCTTGCTTTCTAGCTAATCTAAAAGCAGAGCTGAGCCTGAAGCTTCTATTATTCAGTGCAGACTCAGATAGTAGATGGCAGAAAGTTATATTATTAACTCACATTGTGAGTTAATTTTGTGAGTTTGCTTGCTAGCAAATTTTATGAGGTTGCAAGCACATTTTATGTGACAGACTCAGGTAGCTGATTGCAGAAAGAATCTGTGAATCTGTGGTTCTGTGAGCAACTCAATCTGCCTGCCTGCTTTGCCTGATTTTGTGTAAAAGTTGCTTTTTTTAAAATAAAAAATTCAATATTTACATAAATATTTATATTTACAAACTATGCCCAGCCAGTCACATGACCACCAAGCCACACCCACAAATTAGGCCACACCCACAGAACTAGTTGTTAAGAAATTTGAATCCCAACCCTGGATATTATTGAGTTGGCCTAGAGATGGATAAAAATAATAGTCTTGGCAAAGATTGGATGACTACGGTGAACTAACATACTGTGATTCTGATTCATAAACTGCATCCTTGCTTGTCAGCTGTTTTAGAACAGAAGAACCCCAATCTGTGAAAGGACAACTAAATGAAACACCCTTCTGAGTGTATACAACAATATACACTCTTCTTTCTACTAGTTGGTAAATCTCCCATCTGCTGTTTTCTACTTTCAATATTTGGTGAATCTTCCATCCACTGTTTCCATGAATCCAAAAATAATTGTGCTGGGTGTTTCTAGGTAACACTAGTCTGAACACAGTGCACATCCAGAAGCCATGGGCTATCAGTTCATAATCATGATAATGCTACAAGTCAAACCAAGGTAAGTCATGACATGAATCCTGCCCTCTCATACTTGCATTGTGAAATTGCACACAAGGACATGGGGGGGCAGAGTTTGCATCATGTTATTGAACACATTTGGCCATTTCCTTCCCTTCTCCTCCACAAACACCTAGGCTGCAATAGCAATAGCACTTAGACTTATATACCGCTTCATAGTGCTTCACAGCCCCCTCTAAGAGGTTTGCAGAGTCAGCCTATTGCTCCCAACAATCTGGGTCCTCATTTTACCCACCTCGGAAGTATGGAAGGCTGAGTCAACCTTGAGCCTAGTGAGACCCAAACTGCTGGCAGCCAGAGATCAGCAGAAGTAGCCTGCAGTACTGCACTCTAACCACTTCGCCATGGGGGGCACAAAATGTTTGTTTGTAACGTTTGTATAGCTGCCCATCTTAAAGGCAAACACCAGGTGGCTTACAGTTCTCCTATGCAAATGGAGAAGCCACACTTCCAAGACTTGCTCTCTCGCTATATCTAATTGCAGGTAATTAGTGGAAATGGAAGTGGACTGTTCTGCACACACTGAGGAAACATCTGCCTGATGAGAACTTTCTCTCCAATGCAAAGAAGGGATGAGAACCATGAGAATGTTTAACCAGTGACTAAAGAAGTCTGTTATAGTTTCAAAAGATACACAACTTGCCATTAGAAGCTGAATCAATATTAGAAAGATTAATTAAAGATTGGAAAGATTAGGAGAAATCAATATTAAGTATTTACTATAACTTAAACAGGGGTGGTTTTTAACAACCAGTTCTGTGGGTGTGGCTTAGATGGTGGTGCATGGCTTGGTGGTCATGTGACTGGGTGGACATGGCTTGGTGGTCATGTTATTGACTGGGTGTGGCCAACTCAATATCACTCACATCGAGGCACGCATCTCCTTGCCTGGCCTCTCCTTGCCTGGCCTCTGTGGGGATGCTGCAACAGTCGTAAGTGTAAAAAATGGTCATAAGTCGCTTTTTTCAGTGCCATTATAACTTTGAATACCAGCAAAGAAGGCAAAAAAAACCCTCCAGAGATGTTCCTGAGACAGGAAGTCTAATCCTGCCAACAACATAATAAAGATTAACAGAGAGGCAGTTTCTGTAAGCAACACCAGAATGTTTCCTTCCTGCCTTCCTTACAGGATTAGGCCAGTAATTTCTTCTAAAAACCGGTTCTCCGAACTGCTTAGAATGTTAGCAACCGGTTTCTAGCGAATAGGTGTGAACTAGTAGAATCCCACCCCTGAACTTAAATCTCCACCATCATACACAAATATACATAAATAAAATTCTACGGCAGAAGTCAATGGAGAGGGAAAAAAATGTAAGGACTTCCTTGCATAAATTCCCATAAAGAAAAAGTAGTGTCATTTGAAGCAGAATTTCCTCAATTCTCCAAAATAACAGGAAGTTTTCATAATTTATAATACAGCTACTATTAGTTTCCATTAATATTGGCTATAATATTACTGGATAATGTGTTAGATTTATTATTAATGACATCAGTGAATTAAATGGCAAAAATTTAACACCCCAACTTTCATCAATACATGTTTTCTGTCGAATACCCAATACTGTTCAACATCACTTGGGAGTTTTGCTTGATGTTTTATTAATTCCCTTAGTACTATAACTGTATGGGTGACCCTGAAATTTTCTCTTTTTGTGGATGATGTAGTCAAAGACCTTGTGTAGACAAGGAGCTTTAAGAAAGAGACCATCACACTGACACTTCAACTTGTGTCTTAATATACAAGAGAGGAATGACTCTTCTACATGAAATTTCACAAAACTATATGAAATTTCAAATTAGATGAAAGACAATACAAGGAAAGCAAAAGCAGATACTGTCATATATGAGTTTGTTCAATATACAATAAAAAACATTTACTACAATTTAATTGGATTATTTAATTAGGGAGGTGAAGTCTCTGAGCATTTTTATGCGTCCTCTATAAAGCAAAGTGTGGCACTAAAATGAACTGAGTACAGATATTAGTTGATATTTTATTAAAGGAAAGCAGTGATATACATATGAATTGAAGTAAATTGCCACATTAATCATTTTAATAGCTATATTGGCTTACAAACTTTTAGCAGCTAAACTGTCCAATTGAACAAAGAATTCAAGCTCCTTCCTGAGCCAAATATAATAAATGTTATCAGTTACCTAATTAAAGTCATAGATCAGTACTCATTATGAAATGGAGCTAGACAAATATATGGTAAAACCAAAAAAGAAGTTAAAGAGGGGAGGGTCCCTCCCACTTTTCAAAGATTTTGGAGTTCATTTTACTTGAATACAAAATAATTGAAATCACACATTTCTATAGGATGCTAAGAAGAAAACTAAAATAATTTTAAAAACCTTAATGTGCTTCTTCACTAGGGATTCTCCATGTCATTATTCACCAAAATATGCTAATTGAATAATGTATGGATTTATATCTTAGGGAAACATCCAATACAATAAGTGTCTCACTCATTGCTTTTCAATCTGTTTATCCATACTAGTTGTGCAGGCTTGACTACCTTAAAAGCTGTAGTTTTATACATTTCCTGTCCTGATCATGGGAAAAACCTCTAATCCACATAAACCTTAGGCCCTGAACAATGTCCTCCAAAAATCTGAAGCTCATTGTTGGAGATACTAGTATCAGAGGATATTTGCAGGAAGAAGGACAAGTGACATTGTGCATGTTATGACACAAAATGACGCAAACATGTGACATTGTAACACAATTTGACATGATGTGTGTCCCTCTATCAAACACATATGCTTAAACAGTCATAAAAAAGAGAAACCTTCCCAATCTACCACCTACCAGATTTCCCAATACTGCAGAGGTTTAGACTACTTCTCAACGAAGAAAAACCCAGGAAGGAGTAGGTTTATTTTTTCAGAGCTGTTGCCTGCACTTGGTGAGTTGGAGAGTACTAAGTTTATTTCACTTTGAGCACTCCAGTAGCATCAAATTTTTGCAGATGGAAGCATGCTCTTTTTAGAACCCAATTCAATTTTTTAAAAGTCTGCTAGGTTGCTTATTATTTGCAGCATTATTCCCACATCAAAAATAAACCAATTATAAAAGTACCACAAAGTATTTTTGAGAAGGTAGCAGATACTGAACTTTAAGTTTTAGCATATTTCTGAATCTCTTCATCCCAGTCAAAGTCTAACAGTGCATCGTCCAGATCAGTTACCGAGAACAATGATTTCCCTGAAATTCTGTGAATGTTTCCTAATTCAAAGCACTTCCGGGTGGGTTCTGCACAATCTTTCTGAGTCTTCAATGGCTGCCTTTCTCTCACTTTTTCATTAGTGGTGATATTCAAAGAAACTGGAGATTCATCTGATGGTATAAAGGCAAACTTTGCTAGCTTTGCTAAAGTGCTGGGGCACACTTTTCTTGAATTTTGACCATCCAAATTTGTTATTCTTGTCCCTGACGTATTTGTAAAAGAAATGGCTGTGGCTTTAGTTGGCTTTGGCTTGTCTTCCTCTTTCTTGTTTTTACAGGCTTGTTTCTCCTTGGCCGTATTTCCTGGGTTAAGACTGTTGCTTTCCTGATGTTTATCAGGATCTTCTTCCCTCAGATTTTCTCCTTTTGATGTACTTTGGGTAAAAAGGTCAGGGTTGTAAATAGTTTCCTGTAATGTCTGACGTTCCTCATTTTCAGGAGACAGAGAAAGCTTAGGCTTTCGTTGAAAGGAAAACTTTGCAAACTTAGTAGGGGCAGCTTCTGATTTCTCAGGGATGACAGGTTCATTGCAATTTCTTACTTTGTTGGTTTGGTCTCTATTTCGCTTCCGATTTAAAGATGTTGATGTCAAATGCCTCGAAGGCACACTGTGACACAGAGAAGCCCCGGTATCTTTTTCAGGACAATCTGGGATAATTGCAGAATGAGAAGATAATGAAGATTGAGTATCCTCAGTCTTGGAATCTGCTGTATTCATACAAAATCTCTTAATGCTTTCAATATTTCTCTTCTGCCACTTCTTAGAGGCCCTTTGAGTAATGATCAAGTTAGGTGTGCTAGGTGTAGCATCTGAACCTTTATGGACTGTCCCTGAAGGGGAGTTTATAGGCTTTTGTGTCCTCTCAAGGGCAAAAATAGTCTGTATACAAGAGTTCCCCTGGTATTTTTTGGTCACTGATTCCCTCTTCTTGGTTTGCTCAGATTCTCTTAAACAGTTGGTCTTTTTAGAAGATCTACTATTCGTTGCTTCCAAAGCCGGATTGTCCTGAGATGTTACTGCAACTGGAAAATTACAACTGACCTTCTCACTTTCCATGTTACCTTCTGCTATACTATCAAACCAATTCAAAGTGTCATCACTGTCGGTCTCATTAAGACTCTTCGATTTTTCTCTTACTTGGGCATCATTAGATACTTGTCTGGTTGGGAATCCCAGATGCGTATCAGCATCAGAACTTATTTTGGCTGACAAAGGTTGTAACTGATTATTATTTTCTTCTTTTTCTGAATGTTGGGAATGAATATTCTGCTCTAATTCCCCAAACGTGTCATTACTTAAAGATGCTCCTTTGCGCTGCAGAGATGGGCTTAAATTTCCATTCTGTAAAAACCTAAAAAAATTAAAAGGAAAATATTTTTTGTCAAAATAAGTTGCATTTTTATAAGCTTTGAAATATAGAAGTGATGTTTCTTTATGGGTGCAAACATTAGTAAATACATGACTTTAGGAATTTTAGATAAAACAGATGAGAATATTTGCTTTTTGTGAATACAGGTAGTCCTCGACTTAAGACTGTAATTGAGATCAGATCTATGGTCGTAAGTCATTGCATAAGTTACATGACCTGACACCCATTATTTTTTTTTACATTTTTTGTAGTGATTGTTAAGTGACTGCTGCAATTGTTAAGCAAATGCTGTGGCTGTTAAATGAATCCATTTTCCCCAATGGGTGTTCACATGACTGCAGAATACGGAAAACAGCTATAAAAATAACCTGGTTGCCAAGTGCCCAAAATGCAATCATGTGACTTTGTGGGTGTGTGGCCATTGTAACTTTAAAAATGGGTCATAAGTAGCTCTGGGGAGATGAAGTTTGTAATTTCAAACAGCTGATAAGCAACCAAACATAAGTTGATGAGTACCTGTGAATAATATTCAAGCAAATCATTCTTCTGCAGTAGAATTCTGTGTTTACTTACTCAGGAATAAATGAAGTTTTTTTCTGTCATGTGAAGACAGAAAAGGTACTGATATTGGTTTTGCACATAAATAAACAAATAACAGAATGATTCTCTCTTATATTGTTAATTATTTTCATCCATATGCTTTCAAGACTATGGCTTACAAGAAAACATTAATATTCATCACATCGCACATTGTCATAGCAGCTGATGTGTAATCTGATTTCAAGCCGATGTTTTTCCTCCCAAACATAAATGTTTTGCACCTGTCAAGCCTTCTTAATTCCTCCTGCAGAAGGTGTTGCAACTCCAGCTTCTTCAAGATTAGTTCACACTGCATTCTATATTGTTCCACCGGATTTTCAGGAAAGGAAGTGTGGAGCGCATTAGCACCACCAAGAAGTGCACCTCCCTAAAGCAAGACAAGAATTGTGATGCACAAACTGTTTTCTGTGAAAACTTCTTAAATTAAATATTTGTCTGAAATGGTATAGCTTTTCCTGGCTGAGCAGTAGATTGGACTAGAAGACCTCCAATGTCTTTTCCAACTCTGTTATTCTGTTAAATTAAACATGGTAAAAACTTGGTAAAGTTTGCAAGCATGGAACAAAATTATTTATTCCGGAAAGCCTTAAGAGTTTGCATCCTTGGAACACTACATAATACCTAGAAAATATTCACAACCTTTGGCTTCGATCTTAAATAAAGTAATCAATAAAAAGGAAGTTTTCAAGAAAGAAAAGTCCAGTTGCCTTTTGAAAAGTATCTTTGGAAAAACCATGACCTGGATGATTGAAAATCTCCAGAGACTTTTAATCAACAAAAGTGTTCTGACCCAGGCTTCGCCAAACGTAATTAAACACAAACTTGTTTTAAAAGCAAACGCTTATTGCAATGCTGGGAATTACTTTCATTCCCAGCCAGAACTAATCTGAAACAGTTCCCCAAGATAAGTACATGCCTTTCAGTGCTGTGGAATGCTGCCAAAAACAGAAGTATCCAATTAATTATAACAGAAACCAACCGAAATACCAGAAAAAAAACGATCATAGTACACAGAGCTTCAAGGAGGACTCAGAATCTATTGAACTACTTTGCTTCCTGCAAAGATTTCATCATTGAGGTCTGACTTTTATCCCTTATGAGAGGGGCAATCACCTCCCAGCCTTACTCCTGAGTTGCCCCTTCTGTTTTAGCTGCTCTCGCCTTCTAGCAGCTCTGTGCACACGCACACTGGAAACAGGCTCGCCTGGGTCTTCTGCTTTGCTGTTGCCAGACTCCGAAAGCTCCGAAGGCAGCACCCAACTCCCAGATGGTCCTGGCCCCATCCCTGCATCGGACGCAGGACCCTTGCCCAAGTCCTCTCCAGACTCCCTGACTGGTCCCCTTTCTTCCTCACTATCTGATTCCACCGCCGTCTGCAACGGCTGCAGGCAAACCACAACAAAAAGCTTCCCATCCCATTCTGCTCCCAAGAAGCCTTTGGAAGACATGGGCCACTCCTGAATAAAATGGGATAGCACACAGTTGGTTATCTTGAGGGACATTTTCATAAACTGAGGCTCTTAATCCATTAAAACTTAAGACCTAGAAATCACGTTTAAAGGCAGGAGCTGCTAAGAGGAAAGAAGAGCTGGTATGCACTAGTTTTTCTGTACTTGCCCATCCAGATTTTGTCCCCATATCAGAACAATTAAATCATTCAATGAAATCATTTTACAAAACCATAGTTGAACTGAACACTTTGCCACAAGTTGGCTTATTCTATGTTTGAAACAACTCACTTTCCTCATTTTGAACACATAGCTAAAGGTAGTCCTCGACTTACAATTCATTTAGTGACCGTTCAAAGTTATAGCATTGAAAAAAGTGACTTATTTCACACATACGACCCTTCCAGTATCCGCATGGCCACATGATCAAAATTCAGATGCTTGGCAACTGGTTCATACTTATGACCGTTGCTGTCTCCCAAGGTCATGTGATTCCCTTTTGCAACCTTCTGACAAGCAAAATCAATGGGGAAGTCAGATTCACTTAATAACCATGTTACTAACTTATCAACTGCAACGATTCACTTCACAACTGTGGCAAGAAATGTCGTAAAATGGGGAAAAACTCACTTAACAAATGTTTCGCTTAACAACAGAAATGTTGGGCTTAATGGTGGTCATAAGTCGAGGACTATCTGTAGTTTTTGATAAAAGATATACACAGGACAGATTAAGGTCCCATGATCTCTTTTATGTAGAAAAACCTGTTGAGTTTTGGATTTATCAAGTGTCAAATTTAAAATAAATCATAGTTTCTTTTCCAGAGCCATATTAATTGAACATGCTCTTCCGTAAGACCATTTTCCCCCCATATCATTTCTAGAATGTACATGCATACATCATGCCATACTGTGATCCCTTCAAGGTGGAGCATGTCAAAAAGCAGACTCCCCAATTCTAGCTGAAACTAGGTTGATGTAGGCTATAGAAACAAAATCTTGAAGGTCAGATTCTAACAAATTTGGGAGGAATGAGACTTACCGGCTCATTCTTTCTCTGTATCCTGGGCTTAAATATGCTTTCAACTCTACCTTGCTTCTCCAAGGTCATTGCTTTGGCTTGCCACAAATAGTACTCATATTGTATAAATATCACACAGTAATGTCTTGAAAAGTCATTTAAAACAGAACAATATTGTGTATGCAGAAAAATTTATTGTCAAGGTACATGGATGTGACCCATTCCAATTTCCATAACTATGAACAGGAATGGACTTTTATGCAAAATGACAAGATCTGGAAAGTGGAGAACATGTTTTTTTTTAAAAAATATGTGCCTACAGTTTGTGGTCCCTTATAATTGTTTTTGTTACCTATAATATATATGTAAACTTACCTGCATGGAAGATTCCATTACCGAAACCACAGTTACTGCATCTTCCACAGTTACAATTTCCCTGAACATCAATCGAGCATGTGCTGAAAAACAGGTTTTAAAGAAAATCTATAAAAGGTGATGAGTAAATTTTTACATGGAATAAACTAAATGCACATGCACCCAAGTTTTATCAGGAACACCCAATTCCTATATCTATCTATCTATCCTATTTTACCTAATGTAATCTACCTGGAATGTATTTATTAGCTTAATTTAGTCACAGGTATTCAATACAGCACAACTGTTTCAGCTGCTTTTTAGAATTAAGTGGTCAATAAAAGCGCAACTTACTGATGTAGTTAAAATCTTCTTCTCCTTTGTAATTGTTCTGTTATCGGGTTTTATTTTGTTTTGTTTAATTTCTGTTATTTTGCCTTTTGTTGTGCATGCAAGGTTTCAAAATGGGGTATATCATAAATAAACATACATATCTAATACAGGTACATATCTGTCACTTTATTTTTCTACCTATTAGAATCATCTTCCTACTTATTACAAGCATCTCTATTTCACATACGCATCTTTTAATACTTGTACCTCAAAACATGAGTCCACATTAGATGAAAAAAAGAGTCATGGTGACGCAGTGGTTAGAATGCAGTATTGCAAGCTAATTCAGCTCACTGCCAGCAGTTCAATTCTTATTGGCTCAAGGTTGACTCAGCCTTCCATCCTTCCGAGGTCAGTAAAATGAGGACCCAGATTAATGGGGGCAATATGCTGCAAACCACTTAGAGAGGGCTGTAAAGCACTGTGAAACGGTATGTAAGTCTAAGTGCTATACTCTGTCTTTTGATCAGGAGCTCCAGGTGGTCTACATAACATTCTCTCCTTCCATTTTTCCCAATGAGAACTACCCACCAACCAAGCTTAACAAAGAGATGCAAGTTAGAATTAAGGAGAAATTTCCTATCAGTAAGAACAATTAATCAGTGGAAGAGCTTGCCTTAGCAGTTGTGATGCTCCATCACTGGAAGTTTTTAAAAGATTGAACAGTCATTCGTTCAGTATGGTATAGGGTCTCCAGCTTGAGCAGGGGGTTGGACTAGAAGACCTCCCAAGTCCCTTCCAACTCTGTTATTTTATGTTTTATAAACTTAAGCAAGTTGGAAGTATTAATATCCGTAATTGCTTACAACTTTCAAAAAAAAATCAGCCACAATTTCTAAGCTAGGATTATTTCTGAGTATAATGTAAGAGCACATAACAGCTATTTTGTCACTGATAATAATCGAGGATTGACGGCAAATCCCTGTTATATTCTGGGGAAATGCATGTAACTCTATTCTGTTCCAAATTGCTGTATGATAATCATTCCAGAAGCAGAAGACATTATGTAGGGGTGGGATTCTACCAGTTTGGACTGGTTTGGGCGAACCCCTTGCTCCAAACCAGTTCACTGCGATGAGCAGGTGGGACCACCCACCCACCCCTGCTTTTTCCTGTGCTTCATTTCCTTTGTTTAGAGCAGGGGTGTCCAACCTTGGCAACTTTAAGACTTGTGGACTTCAA